CCCGCGCGCACTCACACACACACACACACACACACACACACACACACACACACTCAGAGAGACATACATACATACAATCAAAAACATACAGGCATCACCTCAGTGCCCCTGAACCCCTGAACTGTGACAGATAGAGTTTTATCAAACTCAGTGTATATAAAAGTGTTCAAAAATACCGTTTTGCTCTTTTAAAATGTATTTATTTGCTTAGTTCACCTCAAAGACTATACTATAACATCTTTCTGAAAGTGAGGCAAGAGCGTGCAGGGAACGGCCATTTCAGCATTCATGTTCATTACTAGTCGATAGAATATCGTGCTTCTGCAGCCTAATGAAAATGTAGGTCAATTTGATCCGGGACATTCTTATCACAGCAGGTCACCTCCAACGACCACAATTTTGCCACGCCATTACCCTGATAGGATAACCTGAAAACAGTGATTTGGCCTCAATTTCACAATCACCAGGCCACGAACACACCTGGGGTTGTACGATCTATCTCATGTTGGTTTGGTTAATTAAGTATGAAACTCAAAGATATATCTGTAACGTTAAACAAACGGTTCAATTTACAGTTGTGTTTTGCGTCCCAAGGAGGCAGGGGAAGATTTATAGCTTTATCGATACAATCATAGTTATGATACTAATTAACTTGTTTATGAAAAATTGATAGTTCGTTGGTAATAACAGATGAGACATCCTGATGTATATGTGGGTACCAAGAACCCCAAAAAAGATGAGCAGATAGAATAAACAGACCCATGGATGCATACTAAAAAGAGCGAGCGAGAGAGAAAGAGAGAGAGAGAGAGAGAGAGAGAGAGAGAGAGAGAGAGAGAGAGAGAGAGAGAGAGAGAGAGATCATGGGGGTAAGGGTGGTAAAGGGGAAGAGAAGAAAAGGATTGAATGATAGTTAGTAAAACAGATGTGCGGAACACCTACGTACTAGTACAATACAAACATATAAACAAGTATTGTCGAATGCCTAGATAGATAGATAGCAACAACATTTTTCGAAGGAGAGAATCGCCAGTTTAGATATGAATGCATGTCCTTCCCGCTTGAGGAAGTAGCGGAAATTAATTTGTGTTTTTGAGAAAATGCAGTCAGCTATGCAGGTTACATGCAACAAATGTTTCACACCGTGAGGCTTATTTACGAGGCTGGACTACTGAATTTAACGTCCATCTCCGACAGGCCCGATTTGGTTTAAATGGGCCTGGTGGATATCCTCGAAAACTTCCCAAAGTTAATAAGCACACCATTGGAAAGTCTAACCGGGAGCATCCGAGCCATAGTTCAGTTTGCATCAAAACAGACCCCACGACGGTCTTCATAAGAAAACCTAAATTCTTCGCGTCAGATGGGCTCTAAGATCATACGTTACACAACAGAAGCATTTAAGGCCTACTTTTGTGCATTCTTTGAAACCAGAAACTATTTGGAAGTATTCTCTATGGTTTTGTAATATTAAAAATTCTCATGCAGGAATCGAACTATAGTCTGAACTATAATCTGCATGCGCATCACCGCTACACCATAGATGCCGTGCAATCCTTCTTACAAATTAATTAGATAGCTGTAAAGAAGCCAAATCGTTCCACACTGTCTCTCTGTGACTTAGTGGCTATATGTTTTAGGTTCACGTTCCCTGGCCGCTTAATGAACAAGCCACTACACAGAACCCAAGTAATGAAGTGTAGCAATTCGATGGCAGGGATAAAAGCAATTGCCAAATTGACTTGCTTGTTATAAACAGAAATGCCTTTCATTACGTCTTTATGTCGTTTCAGAGAAACCCTTTTTAACCGTTACTCTTGAGATCTTGTCCTATTAAAAAGACTCCTAGATTTGCTAGATAAATGTTTGTTCAAACGTAAAGAGAAATTAGTTAAGTTCTGTGTGGGACAACGTTAAATCTTTCTTCATAGATCCAACTAGTTTGCCTCGAATATTTCATTTAAGATCTTTAAAAAAACCAAAACATATAAAACCAGTTATCATCTATTTGGGCATGAAGTCTTTGCAGTTTGGCTTTGAGCAATTCCGAAGATTAACAGTTCAATAACAACATTAAATGCAACACAAAAAGAGAGCATTCACTGTGTGTGATTATTACCCCTACCCTC